CTGTAGGCGTTTGGAGCGTGTTGCTGTCAGCAGGGCAGCTTTCCAGAGCTCCACCTTCTTGACCCTGCGGTCCTTCCTGCTTTGGAGCACGACTCGTCATGTTCATCCTGCTTTTGAAGAGATTGGATTCTAAAAAGGCAGAATGAACATGCTGTCAGCATTATTCAGCACACTGTGGAAGGATGATGTTCGGAATTTAACGATGCACACAAGCGAACCGGAGTTGCGCGCATTGGGGACTGACTGGATCCACCCAAAAGCCAACATGACCAGACTTCTTCACTGGGGAAGAATGGAATGCTATACCTTATATCCTTTGAGCAAGAATGATCCACTGGACTTCTATGGCTCGTAGTGGGGACGAACGGAGACTTTATTTGCACCTTCTCAGGGAAAACGGTGATCAGTGGGACGACAGGAGGGAGCCATTTCCATTGTGTGAATAACTGAGCGAACACGACTAACATTAACAAATGGGTCCTCAAAAGTTGAGGCTTGTCCCTAATTGCCACGACGAACGGCAGTGGCTCCGCGGCGACTACCGTACCTTCCCACTAGGAATCCAAGTCGTTCTCTCTATAGCGTGCGACCGGGTGCAACGAGCGCGACGCGATTTTTTTGGGAGAAATACCCAAAGTGGTGCGGAAGACCTGCCCGTTGACCTAGCCATTCGATAGTCGTGGCTCTAGATCGCTTCCCAACTGGGGAAATCACTATGTATATAAAATCATGTACCTTGTGGGCCATGGTGTTGGTGATTCAAAGCTGATTGTTGGCTATCACTTATGTGATCAGCCCTTCAGCCAAAAATTACTTCACTACAATTGCTTTAAAATTACAAAACACGTATGATTACACAAACTTTATCAACATTGAAAAATCATAAACTTCATCAACACAGAAACGATTTAACAGAAAAAATTCACGATAACAACGGACAATCTGCTGGACGCCCAAAATAAGCGAGCACTTGATCTCATTCTGAACGATTTGTATTGTACGTAGGATATTTATGATAATCCCAGCTGAAATCATAAGCTTCAAACACTTCATCAAGCAGAATTGGTAAAGGAAAAGGTAAAAGGAAAAGAGACTTACACGTGGTCGAGTTGCTGGAGGAAGTTCTTGCGATGAAAGCATTGCTCACAGGGTTCATACGGTCCCAAGATGCAGGCCACCTGGAATATGGATATCTGTCCCAATCTGTCTATGCTTGAGAAGCTGCAGGAGGAAATTTGCAGAAACATCTAGCGAACCGTTTTCCCCACAAGGGGGTTACAGGTACAAGGCAATCGTCAAGTAAAGCCATATATGTATGCGTCTAAAGAGTAGAAATCCGTTTGCTACCCAGCCACGATATATACTCTTAAGGGTCACCACACGTCCCTGCCCTCGGTGTTTTGCGGTGTTGCTGTTGGCACCTTTTGACCCGTTGTGATATGATGTTAGCAGTATAAGTAAAGACATTTTCCATTTTCAAACAGCGCTTTTCTCCAAAATCATTTTTTAGCAGACTGTATTTTTTTATATCTGCTCAAAAGAAGTGTCCTGAGAAATTCCATTCCACCATAGCGAAAAAGAAAAAATGCCTTAGCAGCAGATCTAATGGTAAAAAAAAAACGAGGTTAACTGGTTTCCATAAAACAACTGCTCTGAAAGGAAATAGCTGTTGTATAAATAAAACTGAAAAACTTGTTGAAGGCATGGTTACCTACCAGATGGTTCTCGAGATTGGTGCGTGAATCGAACTGAATTTTGCAAATAAAGCATTTCCACTTGTCGCCAGTCTTTGGCAGAGCTTCCTCTAATTCTTTCATGGAAAACATCAGGATTCCTCAATTACGAAATCATTAAATTTTATTCTCAAGACAGTATTAAGAAAAAGAATCTTAACAACATCGTCACAGTTTATTCAGAGACTCAATGATACAAAAAGTGGTATAGTATAGACTTTAGTGCACTGAATAGAATAATCCATGGAATGGACCTTTAACGTTTTTAGGATTCAAAGAACTGCAGTGCATACACGACATTTTTCGTCCCCATACGAAATGAACAAGGGTATAGGCACATTCTGCGTCCTGGGATGGGCGCGTCAGATTGCGCGGCGAAATTCATGCAATTTTGGCGGCTCCGGTGCCTAACCTTGGGCCATAGTTTTGAAATAAAGAAGATTTTTATGTTCAATTAATCCTACAAATCTACTCTACTCAAATTTGGGCCCCATGACAGGCACTAAAGTTGTCCGAATAGCCACAACTTTCGCCGCACGCAGGAGTGTCCCTTCCCCCAGTGTTAAATTGGTGAGCGCGCTCTAAACGAGCGCGACTTTTCACCGCGTAGTATAGTGAGCTGTTTAGTATTCCATTTAAGTGTATTGAGTTCTACCCTATACCACTGAATGCTGTCTAAGCTGTTACCAAGTTTCGATAAATACACAATGCATACACAAACAACACAATGGTGTTTGTATACATAACAGTAGATTACTTCCATATCATCGTCGAGTGTAAAAAAATAAAGAAAACAACAAAACAGTAACAGCAGCGTGCAGGCGGCCACGGGCCAATAGCAAGTGCGAATGAAGCGTGGGCCAATGANCTATACCACTGAATGCTGTCCAAGCTGTTACCAAGTTTCGATAAATACACAATGCATACACAAACAACACAATGGTGTTGTATACATAACGGTAAATTACTTCCATATCATCGTCGAGTGTAAAAAAAAATAAAGAAAACAACAAAACAGTAACAGCAGCGTGCAGGCGGCCACGGGCCAATAGCAAGTGCGAATGAAGCGTGGGCCAATGAAGCGCACCCTGAGCGCTTGGAGCGCAGTATTGTCAGCAGAGCACATCAGCTGTCACAGAGTATTTGATCTTCTTTTTTTTNTTTTTTTTGCTGTAGTTTTTAATCTCCTGCTTGATTATGTTTAACAATGGTTATGGGCTAATGACGCAATTGATTTCGCAGTAACAATAGAGAGGTTTGCACTCTTGTAACGGGCGAGTTCCTGTCAAACTGGGAGTTTTTGCTCAACTGGTTTTAAAAATCCCCACTTTTTAGCGCGGATTGCTTCTTTGCACCATAACGGTGGAGTATGTAAATGTAGCTAAAAGAAATTCACAGAGCTTCAACCAATATGAGGAGAATGGGGCACAAACGACAAACCTTACAAGTACGCCATGGATAGTCGGAGTTGTTGACTCCAAAATAAGAGAAAAAATTGTTTGCATAGCATCAGCCTCCCTATTTTCGCAGGATAAAAGAGCGCATACAGAGCAAGCGCGACTTCCCCCGCGTAGTATAATGAGCCACCTGGACAGCGCGGTTCAGCATTCCACTCGGATATACTGAGCTCCAAGTTGCACCATTGTTTCTCGAATTGCTCCCACGATTGGATAAATCACACACTGTGTGATGCTCTACACAAGTGTTAAGATAATTTTCATGAAATTGTGGATAGCGAAAAGTAAAAATAAGTAACAAAAGCAGTAAGACAGCGTACAGACCAAAAGAGAGATCGCGCCGCGGCTGAGCGCGGCTGCAATTGTCTGGGGCGAATCTTCTCAATGGAGCAGCTGAATCTCTTTCACTCATTTTCCGCGCGGCGCGATAAGCTCATTTTTGTTACAAATTCATTACGTTTTATGTGTCAAAGGCAAAAATCCAGGCTACTAGACCATCTCAAACTGCAAACATGTTGTATTAGTGAAACCTCCAATATAAAGCAGGTCGTTTACAGGAAGCCTCGCGCGTTTTTGCTTACAGCAACTTTTGAAACTGCCAGATTTCTGCTAGAAGGTAGGTGACTAACGTCCTGAGATATCTACACCAATGTCGTTATTATTGGGGGTATTTGCCATCCGCCTTCAAACATCGACAAAAATGAGAATAAAAAGTTCTTAGCTTATGGATGCAATGCAGTAAGTCAGTGGGATCTTTGGGAAGCAAGTCGACTGTCAAGTGAAAGCGTGGAAGGTACATAAGCCATTAAGAACTTGGATATAGGTTGTTGTTCCATAGTTAAATGCTTTTCATCTCTTCCAACAGCGACTTTCCAGGTTCAGCAACGCTATTCGGATTAATTTAGGTCAGGTACGCTTTGTAAATCGCAATTACTGTTCCCCACGAAGTAGAGGTGAAGTTCCTGAACTGCCGATGTCAATGGTGAGACCTATGAGAAGAAATAGTGAACATTAGCAGTCTGGATCAAGTTTAATCATCGATGAGGATGCTTGAAAATTGTAAAATAGAACGCACCAAGCAGTTGATTTTTTTCCGAAATCAGCAAATTAGCAGTTATGAATGCCCAATCTTTTTTGTGTTGTAACTACGACTTCGATTAAAGGTTTACATATTTTTCTATTAAGGTCACTGATTGAAAAATTGCGGTGCAGGTGCTCAAGCTTAAAAACATGGCGGCTAAGCTGCTCCGCCGACAAAGATGCGCTCCAAACGCCTGCGGCGACAATTTAGTCGCCCTGCACTCACGCTATTGGTCTGTCACTGTGTGCACCCAATCCTGCAATTTTTTGCTGTTTACGGTAAATTTTGTTTGTTTTTTTTTTCAATGCAAATATCATTAGTACAATTCAGTGCCCTATCAACCCCATGTACCAAGTGGCACAAAGTGTGAATGTTGTTAGGAATTTTCAACCTTTCAAGCATTGGTTGCTTCCCCACTACATAAGAAAGCAGGGCTTCTCGGCAACCCTCATTTCGTTTGACCACATGGTGCGCTTTTGGTAATTTACAGTAAGATATCCAAAAATAAACTTATCGTCAATAGTCAGAATTGAGAAGAAGAACCGCTTTAGCCCATGAGCCCAACAGTATTGGTTTTCAATGAGAAATCTTCACGAGCTTATACGGCTGTTCAATAATTGAAGCGGTTAAGTCTATACAAAAAAATTTTGTGATTGTGTTAACGCTTTTGAAAGCTTCTTAAACCACTTTTCGAAATAAGCTGATTAATGGACTCTTGATTAAGCAACTATGTCAACGTCCGAGCCAAATCTCGAGGAAGAAATTCCGGAGAATGAACCGACTTGGAAAAAGCCAAAGCTCGAGGAAGAACCTCCGGAGGATGAACCGACTTGGACCGAGACAGTTCTCGTGGAGGGAATTCCGGAGGATGGACCGACATGGACCGAGACAGTTCTTGTGGAAGGAATTCCGGAGGATGAACCGACGTGGACCGAGACAGCTCTCGTGGAAGAATTTCCGGAGGACGAACCAACTTGGACCGAGACAATACTCTTGGAGGAAGTTCCGGAGGATGAAGCAGCCTGGATCAGGTCAAATTACGTGGAAGTAATTCCGGAAGATGAACCGACTTGGGAGGAGGCAGTTCTCGTAGGAGGAATCCCGGAGGCTGAATGGACTTGGACCGAGTCAAATATCGAGGGAGGAATTCCGGAGGATGAACCGACTTGGGCCGAGGCAAATCTCGTGGAGGAAAACTGGGAGGATGAACCTACCTGGACCTGCTACCTTTGTGACAATGTGTTTCCGATGACTGTCAATATCTTGGATCACGCGGTGAGTAACCGTAGTTCCGACACCATTTCTTAATCGTTGTTTTTTTTTTCTTAATTCCATTTCTTAATTCACTATTTATCATTAGCGCAGAGTTGTTTTGTAGAAAAAAGCGACTTCTATGCAGCCGCGGGGTCAGTTTTTTCATGACCAATTAGACTGCCTGTTACCTCTCTCTGTGAGAGAGTTTCCAGGCAAGACCGCCACTTTCTTGTGCAGGGTTGATTAGATTTAACACTTAAATCCTAGATGCAGTGCCTCATGGAACAGTATGAAGAATGTGAACTGTGCAATAGTTACGATTCGCTGACCGAGAAACTCGACCACGTGTAAGCTTCTCTTGACTTTTCATTGGAGAGTCTTATTTGTGCCAGGGTTAGAAGATTTATTGATCGATTGGGGTTTTCCAGGAAGACTTGCCACCTAAAAGTCGAAACCAAGGACACCAACGACAATTAGCCCTGGTCTGATGACGGATCGGATTCATCAGGGTCTTTCGTTATGTTGTTATTTTCTATTGTTGATCTGGATAAAGTTGAAGTTGTTAAAGCTCGTTTCGTGTATGTAGTAATTACCTATGGACGGCTGTTTGGGAAATCTTACAAAATCAGATGTGCAGAAACAACCACCATAACAGAGAATCCCTAGCTACAGAAATCCGTTCTTTCTTGCATTATAAATGCTACCATAATCAGGCGCTCACATGTTATTTAATAAAGTCATAGAAAGAAAATTATAGTAAAGTTGAAAGGTTTCTGTCGGTGTTCTGGAAAAAGTGGTGGCAAAGCTGCTCCGATGATAACGATGCGCTCCAAACGCCTACGGCTACAATTCAAACGCCCACACACTTGCGGCGCACTATTGGTCTGTCGCTGTCTGCACGCAGTCTTACTGTTTTTTTTTTGTATTTTTATATTGAATTTTTCGAAATGCGCACTTGGATATAATATTACATCGAGGCGGTAAGAAGCGTGCGATCTCAAATCTTTTGCGAACATGCTGTCGAAGTTTTTGACGGCTCAAGCATCCGTTCCTTTTGTACACACTACTTCCAAAAGGTAGGGCTTTTCCGGAACTCTTAATCCATGAAAGACCTGGTCCGGTTTTGGTCGCTTGCGGCAAAACATCAAAAAGTATATTTTCTCGTAAGACTTTTAGAAAACTCGTTACCAAGATGACCAATGAATAAGCTCTTATTCGACTTAAGTTTCGGCTTTATCGCCTTCTTCAGAGTTGGTCAAGAGTTTATTTATTTATCATCTTGGCTGCAGGTTCTATAAAAGTCTTACGAGATGAATTCAAAGCCAAGCTAAGATCTATTTTAAAGTCGAGCTTGGTTAGTGTATTAATGGTCAGTAGTCAGAATTGGAGGGAAGAAAGAGTCAGCGCATTTAGTATTCACAATCGCCCAATTCTTTTTGTGTTATAAATGCGAATTTTTAATGGCGTCACTGACTAGAAAATCTGGTGCAGTTGGAAGTTATCCATTGCTTAGGCTTAAGAACATGGCGGCAAAGGTGCTCCACTGATAACGGTGCGCTCCAAACACCTAATTCGAACGCCCACGCATACGCCCACTATTGGCCTGTCGCCGACTGCACGCATTCTGTTTTTTATTGTTTTTTACATTAATATTTTACAACCCACGGTATCATGAAAATAATAGTTTCCCTATATATAAATAGAGACCCCTACAATGTGTAATTCATCGTGGAGCGACAAAAGCACACGTAGATGTAATGGTACACAAATAAGCAAACTGAACTACCCTCTCAACACAACCCCTCCCCCCTCCCCCTGTGCTACGGGGTAAGGAGCCTGGAACCTCAAATTTTTCGTTTGAATGTTGTCGGAATTTCCGACCACTTGAGCACCGGTTGCTGCTCTACTACTGAAAAGGCAGGAGCCTTCGGCAACCCACGCTTCGATCAACTAGCTGGTCCTAGGTTTGGTAGTTTGCAGTGAGATATTATTCATCGTCAGTAGTCAGTAATAGAAGAGGGACCGGTCTAGCCAACGATTGCGGAAGCAGGTAAGCTAGAAATAATGCTGATTAACAATGGTCTTCCGTGGGTCAAACCCCATATACTCACTTGGCTGCTTAGTTATTGAAGCGAACCTAGCCGATAAATTGTTCTTAAATCATGATGTTGGAAGCCAACTAACGTTAAGCCCATACAGAAAGATTTCCGCGATTGTGTTAGCATATTTGGGAGCTTTTCAAATCCTGGGTCTGGTTTCTTCTCCCCGAAAACGGCGTCGCGTTCGCCGCACCCGATCGCGCGCAGTCGCGCGCTTTGAAAGGTTTAAAATCCCAGTGCAAGGATAGGGTAGCCGCCGCGTGACTTTTGCCGCTTGCCGTGGGAATTCGGGGAGAAGTTCCGGCACCCCTCAAATCCCTATTCAAAAGAAGCTGATGAGTATATGTTTAAGCAACTATGTCTATGTCGAAGCCAGATCCCGAGGAAACAGACCCGAAGCAACAACTCACCTGGACCTGCTTCTTTTGTGGCCAAACGTTGCCGTTATGTATCACTGTCTTGGAGCACGCAGTAAGTAGTCGCGTTTAATTTTTTTTAAAGGTCACACACAAGAAAATTATGGTGAAGATGGAAGATTTCTTGCGGTGTTTTAGGAGTTTCAATGCTTCGACCGTGATAACAAGACGATCCAAACGCCTATGGCCGTTCCGTACATACGCACCCCCACTATTGGTCTGCCGCTGTGTGACCGTAGTCTTACTGTCTTTTTGTTTATTTTGACTTTTCGCAATTATCCTTATTATGAGAATAATTCGTCCTTCAATATGGCATCGGATAATTCAGCGAACCTAGGTAGGATAATTCCTAAAATAGTACATCGGAAAAGAAAGCTGAGCCGGCCGCCTACCAACCGTCTACACTCCGCGTAGAGAACCTGCACTCACCTTCCCTTCGTAAAAAATGTATAATTTCGGTTACTCCGGGAACGTCCTAAGACTGTCTAATGAGCGCCCTTCAACCCTCTCGCAAATCCCCCTTCATTCCTTATGATATCTAATTTGGAATCACACTCCTCCCTAACGGGTGTGCTTCGTTCTGCTCGTACGTAACTAGGTCACGCCTCAGACGTCGCACGCGACGCATCAGCCCGCGATTCTTGACGGATGTCGCAGTTGTCGATGGGGCACACGATTTGCGTATGGTCCACGCCAGTCGGATCAAAGGGATCAACACGAACTAGTACGAATCATTCGCCCATGACACTTAGTGGTGCCGTAATGTCATCTCGACATCGCAGTGGGATGCGCCGCGCGCGTAGTGGGCGGGTGACCTATTTTCGACGGACGCGAGTAACGGACGCTCCCCCTCCCAATCAAAAAATGTGAGACGTCCGCAGCCTGCTCTCGAGACTTTTTCGTGATTTCCGTTGATATGTCTGACCACTGCAGAATTTGCTGGGAATGTTCGTTTAAATCGACTTGCAGGTCCAACTTTTGTATTTTGCTCCAAAGTAACAAGTAGTGCACATAATGCATTATCGTCAAACTTCGACTGGGAAAAGACCGGTAAAGCCAACAGTGCTAATTTACTTGCCTAGTGACTGAAACGGGCCTATCGACCTTATCGGTGCTACGGATATTGCGAGAGTTCATTAATGCTAGGCTTATACAGAAAGAATTTGGAAGTTTAAGTTAACGTTCTACAAAACTTTTATTTCGGAGCCGCTATTTATAAGAAAATGACTTGTGATCTACTTTAGCACCTTTGTCGATGAGAACAGTCGAGGACTTTCGTCCGAAGATTGATACCACTTGGAAGTGCATCTTTTGTAACGAAAAATTTCCGAGGAAGACAAAAGTGGAGGATCACGTGGTGAGTGACCGTAATTCACTCTTATTTTCGTTATTTATGCATCCAATACATATTCTTGAGCGATTATTTTCCGGTCTCATTAAACATACAACCAAGCTCTGACTGTCTCTTGTGTCTTGCTGCGAGATAGTTTCCTGCCTACTTACAATTAGGGAAGGAAATCTGGGGATAGGGTGTTACTTCGTGACCCTTGGACTTGCCTAATACTACGCAACCATTTCAAGTTATCGCTTTGCCCATTCACATGTCTGCTCCCTTCATGAAATGTCTCCCATGCACCCATCTTTTTTTCTCAGTTCTTGGGTTAACAGTCAGGAACACCTTTGCTTTATAGATTATGCCCAATATTTCTTCAAGTACTGCTTAAATTTTCAAGTAAATTTCTGTTTCTATTCGAACAGCTCGAGGTGATTTCGCTTTTCTCAGTGTAGCTTGCGATGACTGAGTGGAGGCACTTTAGATTCCGTGTAGAGCATCGGGCATAAATACATTCGTGCGATTCGAGCCGCGCGCGGCAAATTGCGCGGCGAAATTCGTGGCGATTCGAACGACTGTGGCGCCTATTATTGGGGCTAAACCTGAAATATAGTAGATTAGTATGGGCAGCTGATATACTAATCTACTCTACAATAATAGGCGCCAAAGTCGTCAAAATCGCTATGAATTTCGCCGCGCAATTTGAAGCGCGCAGTCGAATCGCACGAGTGTTCCGTCCCCCTAAAACATCAGGTATAGCTTACTCTTTTGGAACTCAGCGGATATCAAGGCCAATTTTGAAGACTCAAAATGACTTTAATGTTGTGTTGGATTGGGATTAAGTTTCACAGAACGCCTTCTTTGATACACTTCGCCCTTCACTCCTTGAAAGCGAATGAAGCCAAACTGGAAAACAAATACAGGGGCGTCCCACTAACATGGGCATAATTATGCGTCAGGTGTCTTTTCGTCCCTAACATCTTCGTATTACTTACATTATTAAATAAAAAAAGATGGCTCTACACAAGTATCGCAAGGCCACGTCCCAAAAACACATCCCGAACAAGGCTTCATGACGGTTGACGCGAAAAAACTTTTGTCCTGGTTCTAGTTCCACCTCTTAACAGCTTTACCATTTTGCGAGAACCGAGGGTGCGAATTTTCTCTCTCCCCACTGATTGCTTTACACTATGAATTTTTCCTTTATTCTTTTTTTTTTTGAGTGGGAGAATTTGAAAGCGCATAAACATAAGCTAAAACGGAAATAATGCAGAACAACTCCTTAGAGTGGATTATTGATTCACTACTAACTTAATTCCGGTATGGGTTAGGTGTTCAAGGGTAGCGCTATTCCTCCTCGAATTCCCGGGTGCGCTCCGTTGCGCGCGTCCGTCGACACTGGGTCCACAGCCGTCGCAGTTGTCAGCACGCGATTCTTGACAGGCGTCGCAGTTGTCAGTGGGGCATACGATTAGCGCTTGGTCCACGGCAGTCTGCCTAAAG